GACGTCGGGCGGGGGGGGGGTTAGGGGGGGGGGTTATCCTCTATCCTCTCTTAGGTATCCGACACGCCGAGCAATGTCGGCGGACATGAGCCACACAAGCAAGACATGCGCAAACTTCCAAACATGATAGCAACATGTTGCAAGCAAAACATAGTTGCCAAGCAATCGCAAGCAACCCAAGCCATGCACAACCTTCCAAGCATGATGTCAACACATGTCGCAAGGAAAACACAGTTTCCACGGAGGCATGAAGGACACAAACAAGATCCAAACATGTCAACACATGCTGCAAGCAAAACATAGTTGCCAAGCAATCGCAAGCAACCCAAGCCATGCGCAACCTTCCAAGCATTGATGTCAACACATGTCGCAAGGAAAACATAGTTTCCAAGGAGGCGTGAAACACACAAGCAAGATGCAAACATGTCAACACACGCTGCAAGCAAAACATAGTTGCCAAGGAATCGTGGGGCATGCCAGCACATGCACAAACTTCCAAACATGGTTCCCACACATGTTGCAAGGCAGCACTGTTGCAAAGGAGTTGTCAGACATGCAACCAAGCTGCACGCAACCTTCCAGAAATATGATGTCAACACATGCTACAGTAGTGCAAGGAATCATCTTGAGACATTAAGCGACACAAACCTTCCAAGCATGTGTATACACATAAAAAGACAAAGCCAATATGTGTAAGGATTTGTTTCGGGTGTAGCTCCACCAATCCAACTGTGACTGGTACAGACAGTATGCCCGGCGTACGACCGTTGACCTTGCACTTGGCTTCGCGATCCGTGAGAAGAGGACGTGACAGATGACTTGCTCGCGCGCACCGCCGCGATGACCTCCTCGCGCCCGCGTCCGCGCTAAGCAGACCGCGCTGCGTGATACAAGCCAGGGGCACTTTCGCGTCACATGTTTGTGTTGCGTGGGGCGTGGGGGGTGGCGCGCAGGGGACCTAGAAGTCGCAAGGCCCTCAAGCAGGCGATGTGCGACCTTCCACGCACGATGTCAGCACATGTTGCGAAAAGATGTCAACCCTCCCTCACACACATGATGCCAACATGCACAAGGAAGACATGGAAGGCAATTTATACATGAGAGGCGCATGACGCATTTGAAGGCACACAGCACAGACACACACACCCACCCACCCACCCACCCACCCACCCAACCACGCACGCACGCACGCACGCGCAAGCGCAAGCGCAAGCGCAAGCGCAAGCGCACGCGCGCGCGCACGCGCACGCGCACGCGCACGTGCACGCGCACGCACACGCGCACGCGCACGCACGCGCACGCACGCGCGCACACGCGCACACGCGCACACGCGCACGCACACGCGCACACGCGCACACACACGCGCACACACGCACACACACACACACACGCACACACACGCACACACACACGCACACACACGCACACACACACGCACACACACGCACACACACGCACACACACACGCACACACACGCACACACACACGCACACACACACACACACGCACACACACGCACACACACGCGCACACACGCACACATGCACACACGCACACACACGCGCACACACACACGCACACACACACACACACACACGCACACACACACACACAGACACACACACACACACACACACACACACACACACACACACACACACATAGGCACCTTCAACATGCAATGTCCTAAGTAGCTGCACCAAAGTCTTGAGCCCACCCAGCTTAGAAGCAAAACATACATGCTCACAACATGGCGGGCACCATCTGCCTCAGTAAGGCTGCAAGAGCAGCAAAAGTTGAATACACATCTCACAAAGTAAGCTGCCCAGGCGTGGCATGCATTGAATCGCGGATGGCCCACTCCAATTTCAAACCCTTCAAGGATGGCTTCCAAGATCAGGAAATCGTCATTCTTGCCCGCATTCTCCTCATCATCAAGGCCTCAGACAAGTGTAGTACATACTTGCCAGCTGAGATGAAGTATGAGGCTAGGGCCCCTTCGTTTTTTTCTTGGACTTGTCTGCGCCTGGTGTCGCAGCAAACAAGGCAAAGTAAGCTCTCAACATGGCAACGTGGTCCTTCAGGGCCGGCCGTTTCGGAAAACTCAACACCTGCTCGAATGCATGGGAGCGCAAACAGGTCCATTTAAAGGCAAACTGCGCTGCGTGCCAACTTGTCCAAACAGTTGCGTGTGTCACAGCAAAACGCATTTTTCCCCTTCGCATCCGTTCTTTTGTCGATCTTCCTGCACAGGGGGGAAGGAAATTGACAGGTAAACACCCCGGTGCTGCCATGAAACAAACAAAGTTTGGGAAGGGTTGTTTTTGAGCTCAAGGCGCTGACAAGCCAGTCATCATTTCTTCGCCTTTTTCCTTGACAGAACTCCCCAATCAGAACAGCAAACACTGGAGGCAGGCTAAGGTCGGAACGGTTGCTTTTCCTCCTCTTCACTGTGTTCCTCTTCTTTGGTATCTTTGCTCTCCTTTGCCTTTTTTCCTTTCTTTTTGCGCTTGCGATCATCAAGCTCTTCTTGTGACAGCGGAGGCTTCCACGACCTTTGCAATTTCAGGCGTAATGAACAAGGAAGAAAACTAGTTATTAACACACAAGGTACAGCACTGAAGGCGCACCATATGAAGAATCCAAGGCGGGTGCTTCGCGCGGCTCAAGTAGAAGTTGAGCTCTGTGTCACTTTTGGACACTTCAACAAACGCTGTGACAGGCTTGTCTCGCTGAGCCTGGGTTTGCTCCTTGCCAGTGACATTTTCACTATGCATTTCAATAAGCTCACAATTCTTGGTTTCTAGGATCTTGAGCGGCCTCTCCATGCCTTTCAGAAGCCTGCGCGCAACAACGCATTCTCAAAACACACATTTGCTGTGAGGACCCAGCTCCCCAGCTCTTTTGTTCTCTGCGTGGGGATCCATTTTTTCCTTCACCGCATAGGCCGCGTCAAGCTTCCGCCCAAGAACCAGGATGAACTGGCTCAGCACCATGAAAGGGGAGCTGGTTGGTGCCACAGTCGGAAAGGCCAGGCGATCTGCCGGGCCTTTCCTTGCAATGCGTTAAGCCAAATGTGTCACAAGCAACCTTGCCAACACAAGCTTGGTGAAAGCATCCCGTGGCAACAGATGGCGCCACGACACAGCAAACATGACAAGCCGATTCACGCATGGCGTGGCACCATGTCATTTGCTGCAATGTCATGCATGGCTATTCCAAGAATGACATGTCATGGCAACTCTCATCATGCATGGAGTTTCACAACATGACGTTTCAACAGACAGCATGACATGGACCATGAACATTCACATGTCATGGCGTGCCACGTTTCATTCATGGCACATGCAATTCATGAAGAATCCATCCATGACATGCCATGACTTCACGCATGGCGCATCCATGCCACGACATGTCATTTGCCATCCGCCTGTTGGCCACGCTAAAGGCCCAGTTGCCCAATGGGTGTGGCGTTACCGGCGCGTGTGCAAGATACGAGCATACTGCAAAGGTAAAGGTTAGTGGTTCGACTCCACCCTGGGCCGTTTCAGCATGTCGCACATGCGGCCAGGCTTCAGCTTGGGCGGGGGAAGAGCCTCCTGAGGCGACTCCCCTTCCATTTTGAGAGGCCCCACGCTGCACGGAGGTGCTTCGACCAAACTTGCGTCCACATCCTGCAAGGTCCCACGCAAGAGGCATCGATGTAGCCCAGCGTGAGTCGTATGTCCTGGAAGGTGCCGTTGCTCTCCATGGTCATGCGAGAGCCCCTCCTCCACAACAGTACGCTTGAAACGATCAACACTGATCTCAGCATACTCCGCTTTCGTCATTGCGCACATGTAGGTCTTGCCACGTTGACGTGCCCACTCGAAGGCATTGTCCGCCATTTCCCTTTCTTCAAGGTAATACGCAAAATTGATCAGTGCAGTTCTGAGTCAAAAGCTGGCTGACGTACCACTTCTCCATGAGCTCTCTCTTGGTGACGGGTTTCTCAAGGCCTCGCCTTCGTTCTGAGTTTTGTCCTCTCGCCACCTTCTGAGCCTGAGCTCCACCTGAGCAAAAGTCCCGCACTCCAAGAGGAACTTTTTCAGCTTGGAGCCTGGCGGCAATGGTGGGCTACTCACAAGCAAGTTTGGTCATGAGTCAAGGAACGATCCGTCTGGCACATGTCCAACACTTCGCTCGAGGCGCTGCTGGGGCCCACCTCCACTTGGCTTAACATAGCGCCGCATCCTTGACAGCTAGGCGCTGGATGAGAACGCCAACACGCCTGTAAGGCTGAGGCTGCCAGTCTGTGGCGTCCATTTTTCTTGCTTTGGCAGGCGCAGGATCTGGCAGCCTGAGATACACACAATGCCCAAACAACCAGAGCGCGAAGCGAGCTTGGTGCAAGCCATGTTGCTGAGACTGGGTCTATCTGGGTCTCGGCCAGAGCCGCTGGCTTGGGCGTCGTTGCGAAAAGAATGTCCACGGCCTTCGTGCCCAGCGCCGTGGTTGCGGGAGTTTTCGGAGCACGGCGCAGCTTCAAGCTGAGCGTTCACACTGCCATCTGACCAGTCAGGGCCAGACTCTGTAGGCGTCATTGGCACCTTGTTTGGCACAGCCGGAACTGTCTCCGCCTCTGCAAGGGCTCGCCTGACCTTCGCAAGCTCCCTGGCACGTTCCTCTGCTTCCACCACTGCTTTCTGCTGCTCTTGAGCTTTGCGCTGGGCCTGCTCGCGGACAAGCTCTTCGGCTTTAAGCAGAACTTGTTCGCGGGCAGCCAGTGCTTAAGCTTTCTGCTCACGGGCAGCCAGCTCTTGAGCTTGAAGCTGAGCCTGTTCACGGGCAGCCAGCTCTTGCTCACGGGCAGCCAGCTCTTGAGCTTGAAGCTGAGCCTGCTCACGGGCAGCCAGCTCTTGCTCACGCGCAGCCAGCTCTTGAGCTTGAAGCTGAGCCTGCTCACGGGCAGCCAGCTCTTGCTCACGAGCAGCCAGCTCTTGAGCTTGAAGCTGAGCCTGCTCACGGGCAGCCAGCTCTTGCTCACGGGCAGCCAGCTCTTGAGCTTGAAGCTGAGCCTGCTCGCGGGCAGCCAGCTCTTGAGCTTCAAACTGAGCCTCACAGTTTGAAGCTGTGCAGCATCTTCTTGCACTTTCAACCGCGCCTCCTGCGTTCTCTTCAGGGCATCCCGAAAGATTTGCTCACTGAGCGTCTCATCTTTGGGCTTCTCAGTCGTCCTCAGATCCGCTCAGGAGCAGATTTTTCACAGCGGGGTGTCAGGATTTCGCAGAACACGCCTTCGCCACATCCAGGTCAAGCTTTTTTTAGCATTTTCATGTCATCAACCTGTGCACGCAAGCTGCCAAGCTCAATAAATCGGCCAGCTGAATAAGACAATGAATGTATGAAGGCCTGGGGGAGCAGAGGAGCCTCCAAGCGCACACACATCAGAGCACATGACTTCTTGCACATGCATTGAAATTGCATGGGCTCACCTTGCGCAGAGCAAGTCACACCCAGGCCTTGAATAAGCCTGGAGCAGAACCATGTGGGAGGTTCATGGCGGGGGTGCCAGCTGCAAACTCGCCATCCACACACGCCTCAAACTGTCCTGCCCAAGCAATTAATGAGCCAAGCAAAGAGCCTTTCATGACAGAAGCCTCAGATCCAGCTCGGGATGGTGGCTTGCTGCGCAGGCTGGCACGCAGGGCCGCGATCTTGTCTTTTTTCTCCTGCAGGCGCTCATGAGCGCACGCACCTGCAGCAGCTAATTTCACATCGCCAAGTGCCCATGCGCAGACATGTGAATTGCAGAAAAAATCCCAGCAGGCCTTGATCGCCTGCTGAAGCTCCTCCTTCTTCATGGAGGCAGTGGTGCCCAGCCGAAGCAGACCCAAGGCCCTATCCAACGACTCAGCAGACATTGTTGAGCGCCAGCGCCAGCTCCATCTGTACAATTCAACGTACATGGTTGAAAGCAATCCAAGACATGCGCACACGCGCAGGCCCAGCGCAAGCTGTGTTTTTGCACACCTAGCTAGGCACACCCCAGACCATGCAAATCATGCAAACCTATACAACCCCATGGTACCCATGCAAACCCATGCAAACTCATGGAAACCCATGCAAACTCATGCAAACGCATGCAAACCCATTGCAAACCCATGCAAACCCATGCCGACCCATGCAAATGCAAATCTATGCAAACCATGTAAACGTGCAAACCCGTGCAAACCTGTGCAAACCCGTGCAAACCCGTGCCAACCCGTGCAAACCCATGCAAACCCATGCAGATCCGGCGCCGATGCAAACCGATCGTGTATACGATACGCTTACGCACCGTACCGTATACGGCCAACAAAATCGAGCACATTTTGAGATTGCCCCCATTTTTCCACAACGTTACGATCCATGGCGCCCGTACGGCGCTAGCTTACGTTCGGGAGGCTGTTGGACGTACGTACGGGATCTTGATCCGCGAGCACCATGGAGCGGAATTGCTCCCTGAATTTCGACATGCATGTCTGCCACGAGTTGGGAACAGAGGTCCTGCTGCTTTTTTAGAGCAATTCAAACACGCTGTTCATGTCTGCGTCCACCCACACGTCATGCATTGCCAGGTCCGTGAACAGCTCACGGTCTGTTTGGGCAGAAGGTAGGTTTGGCTTGGTCCTGCACACAATTCGTATTGCACATGTACTTAATTTCACAAGAAAGTCAATCCAGCTCCTCAGAGAGATATTGGGCTCGACCGGAGCCTCCACTCATAGTTGCGCAAGGCGTTTGCCAAATGCTGGCGGATAGCTCCTGAACGGCATGCATGAGGGGGAGGCACACATGTTGAGGCACGTACTCAGCATAAGCATGCAGGAAGCACTGCGTAGACTTAAGCTGCTTGCTGCCTGTCCACGCTTTGCCTTTTCGACCTGTACCATGCAGCCATAAACGCTCCCACACGCACAAGCGTCAGGATGTACAATTACAGCTACAAGCGCCACACCTATTCCAGCACAAGCTGAGATGACCTTCGATCATGCTGTGAGGCGCACACGCACTGTCTTGATGGTAGTCTGGCGCTGGCGAACATCAGCAGCCAGGCGGCCCAAGTCAAGCTTGACTGCATGCCTCCAGTTACTTCTGCAGGTCATACGTTTTGGGCTTCCAGGCCCATACATCATCATCCACCAAGATGCTTGCACTGCCTTAGCGTGGCATGTTATGCACACGATCCATATCATGACCCACGCCCACACTGCATGCACAAGTAGGATCAAGGAGCATAGCTGACCCGGTTGAGAAAGAACTTCATGCGTGCATGGTCAAGTAAAAGTGATTGTTGTTTGTGCTCTATAAGATAAAATCCTTGTAGAGCACAAACAACATAAAGCAGCAAAGTAAGCCTCGCTTCTACAGGCGCCTTTACAAGAAGCCCCACGAGTCGGTGTCTGCGCTTCTCATCAGGGAGGAGCACGGCCACATGCTGATCGGCGTTGCACGCAGTTTGAAGCTGCGGGCGAGACACCTGATAAAGAAGCAGCAGAGGAAGCCCCAGACGAAGAGCCCGGAAGGGCTAGGTGGAACTCCTAGAGCCCGGGGATCATCCACATCCTCCAACGATGAGAGGCAAAGATTTGCTGGAGAAAGCCTTGGTTCCACTTGCGGTCCTAGACGTGATCCGAGGTTGGTTGCTGCTGGAGATGGCGATGTAAAGGCGGCAACTCGGAATCGCCTGTCCTACAACAAGATCAGGACGGCCTTGCGTTCTATGTATGAGGAGAGAGATCGCAAGGGTAGCAGTGGCCGTGGCAAGAGCGTCATGTTGCGACACGGACTTAACCTATGAGCGCCGCAACTTGGATGTGGGTCTCTACTACCAGGGAGGCGGACAGCCTGCGCAATAGTCACCAGCTTCAAAAGAATGTGGAGAAGACGAAGGCCAAGCTCTTATTCATGGTCACGGAAAAGAAGGTTGATGTCAAGGCCGCGCGAAAGCAGCCCGAGGCTGCCCTTTTGGAACCACGCGGAACCACGGGAGGCTGGCGAAGGATTCAACGACCAGGCGTTTGACCCAATGGTTTTTAAGAAACGCGTGGGTGCCACACACATGATTTTCCTTTTGTGCAAGCTGGAAGCCGCTGGAACCCGAGGCCCCCCTGCGTGTTAAACCAAAAGCAGGAAGCCTAAAACGAGTTGCTACCTTGTTGCCACATATGGACTCCCGCGAGCTATCTTAAGACACTTGGTCAACCCAATCGTGACAAAGACAAATGACCAATAACAAACAATCGTTGATAGCAAGCAGCAACATGACGGTTTCTGCTCACGAAGCAGGAGTCGGAAAGCGGGGCCCGCGTTAACGTTCTTCCTTGCGCTTTGCTTTTAATGGACATTTTCGGGGGGGGCCTATCATGAAAGCGAGCGAGAACGACTTCCAAGCTGCCAAAGGTTTGTTGGTTAGGCTTGGAGTTTCGGAGGCTGATTTTTGACGAACGCAACATGCAGCACAGTGGCACGATACTACATGTCGGGGCATGTCATTTGCAAAGTGGGAGCTGGCAGAAACAAAGTGTAGAGTTCGAGCCAAGGTGTCAGTTTGTAAGACGTTGATTTTGCCAGTTGAATGTGGAGACGAATGCTCACTTGCAGAACCAGCTCATTTGCGCCATTTTAGTTACGTAGACAATGTGGCCTTGTTGTTAGACACTTGGACCCTCAAGGCATGCAGCAGCAATTTCAGCCTTTGGAGGTTTAGTGCCCATGAACCATGCTTGGTGTGCACAAATATTTTGCAGCATGCTTGGAAGCAACGCCAGCCAACCAAGATCAGCCATTGTCAAAAAATCGCTCTGAGGCTGTCACTTGCAATGCTGGGTGAGTTTCAACTGCATTCTTTAGCCGCAATGTTCAGCCCGATCATGTTTCACTCACAACCAGCTTGAGCTGCTGTTGGCATTGCGTTGGAAACCATTCACGCAATCTGCTCTGCAAGCTTTCTTTGTCCGCCAGTATCCCGTCACCATGGCCAGCTGCCAGTACACAAGCAGCCTATATTGCCGCAGCAACTCCTTGCTCAATGTAGCTAACCTGTACTCAGATACCAGTTAAGCTGCCGATTCCTGAGAGACATCTTAGCACTTGAGAAGCATTATGAGTCCTTTCTGGCAAGATCTCCTCAATGCGTGATCTTTGCGAACCACTCCGACGTTCTAGCAGTGCCTGCTGTTCAAGTTTTCTGCAAGTACGCCACCACCATACTCACAATATTTTTTGTCGGACAAACAATGCAGCAGTCTGCCACACAGCTAAGCCTGTAGCGTTTCGCGACTGTTCTCGTTTCCGCTCCCAAGCGCCACTGTGTGATCATGGTGTGTGTGGCTACCGTGTAAACGTTGCCATCTTCATGGCCAAAGTGAACATGTTCACAACCAAAGCGTAGCCGCTCACTCGCCATTCGCATGGCTGCCGTTGCAATTTGCAACAAAGCACAGCCACTTGGTCACACAAGTGTTATGATCCTGTAGCGTGCAACTATACTAGGACCGAGCACAACACCGCACTATGAAATGCGAAAATTAAAGCTGAAGGGTAGCCACTCTGTAATGGCAAACGTTCCGAAACCCAATTGCAACCCTTTGTGTGACCAAAGTGCCAGCATTCAGTAACCAAGTGTAATCATTCCTTAACCAAAGATTGGTGGCGTCTCGCAACAACATAGGGGTCTTTCAGTTGTCGTAACCAAAGTGTAACCAATCCGTAGTGAGAGTTTAGAGGCGTTCTGCAACCAACATGGGAGCTTTCCGTAACCTAAGCAAAGTTAGGGGCATTCCGCAACCAACGTGGGACTCCTCCGGTAACCAATGTGTAGCCATTCCGTAGCCAAAGCTTGGGGGCATGCCATAAACGACGCGGGGCCCTTCCGTAACGAAAGTGTGACCATTCCGTAACCAAAGTTTGGAGGCATTCCGCAATCGACACGGGACCCTTCCGTAACCAAAGTGTAACCATTCCGTAACCAAAGTTTGGAGGCATTCCGCAATCGACACGGGACCCTTCCGTAACCAAAGTGTAACCATTCCGTAAAGTTTGGAGGCATTCGCAATCGACACGGGACCCTTCCGTAACCAAAGTGTAACCATTCCGCAGCCAAAGTTTGGAGGCATTCCGCAATCGACACGGGACCCTTCCGTAACCAAAGTGTAACCATTCCGTAACCAAAATGTAACCATTCCGTGTAACCATTCCGTAAGTGTAACCATTCCGTAACCAAAGTTTGGAGGCATTCCGCAATCGACACGGGACCCTTCCGTA